TAGTTTAAAGATGTTTAAATGATTTTATTTCAAGATAATGACCTAGCATAAGAATTTAAAACACAGTTGCTGCATACAAACACAGGCACATGTATTGGTTGCTGGGGTCTTTCTTACTAAGACTCAATTGATGGGGCCTTTTGTGATAAGAGGACATGATATAATGCACTTGTAAAGTACAGTCAAAATCTTGCTGGCTGGTACAAAGTAAAGGTTATGTATTTAAAGACTTGCCAGTACATTCTTGGGGCCGACTATACTTTTGGGGAACAGAGTAAACAAAACTAATTTGTTCCCAGAAATGGTAAAGTAAAGATATAGGATTGAGTATTTCAAATGAAATACTGAATTGTAATGGAACAAGGAGTGAGGACTTTATAGATTTCATCTCCGCCTTGCCCTGTGGTCATCATTGTCTCAGCACGGCTTCACCGTTTGTCAGTCTGCACCGTGCTTTCCGATATTTCTCTCATGCCAGCATTTAAAGACAGTGACCCCAGTGGTGCTCCCTGAGCAATCTGCTTGTTTGGCTAAAACAACTTGACTAAACTCGTCCCACCCCTGCAAAAAAACAAACACCTGCCTTCTGATCCACTTGGATCGCAGGTGTGAGCTCAGCTCTACGCCAACTAAGCGATACTTACACACAGTTTTCTGCGGGGTCGTCAAGGGATACCCATTGGCTTCACACCAGCCCACGGGAAAGACATCCATAGATTCCACGTCCACAATGAACTCCGGGACAGGAGTCTGCAAACCTGCATCAGAGAAAGGAAGAGAATAGGTAACCCAGACAACACACAACAAACTACAGGGCCCCTGTCTCCTGAATGCTAAAAACAAAGTCATACAAGACAAGAGCAGCACAGCAGATGCTGTGCAGAGTTTAAGGGGCTGGTGTTCGTCTTGGTGGACTAGAGAAACAAATCCATCGACACACCTATGAGTCTAAGAAAGAGATTTATATACAAGAGGCATTGAACATTGAGAAAACATCCCAGCCCAGTCTAGATCAGGTCCATAAGTCCGATACTAGCCCATATTTCTGATATCAATCTATAAAGTCCTCTTCAGACTCACAAAACAAATGCAATGAAGCTAAATGTGGACAATCACAAGCCAGTGGGTAGAAAGTCTTTGGGTCCAGTGGCGTTATAAGCATCTCAGCGCCGGCAGGGGTCTCTCTGTAGCTTCTCAGCTCCGGTTGTGTCCATGTGGCTTGTCTTCTGCAATGTCTCCCAGGGAGTAGCAGAGCGAGATAGAGAGGTGTCTTCCCCCTCCAAGGAGGAAGTCCCAGATTTCCCAAAATTCTCAGAAGGCCATGCCCACACAGAAGTCTCATTGGCTATCTCCAGATTGACAGCCTAGACTCCAACGCTACACTCTTAATCCTTAAATTGACACCAGAGTAGGGACTACCACAGGACTCCTTCCCACAAAACAGCCTTCTTATCCAACAACATCCTGGTGTAACTTCCACTCGAGGCCAACTAGGCAATGCTTACACACTTACTGCTCCATGGGACAGAGACAGGCCTGCCCCCACCTCGTCAGTCCACAGGAGCAGTTCCAGCCTGTCCTGCTGCAAGGCAGTGTGGACCCAATGGTGGTGAGTTGGTTTTCGGTATTCTCTTTTTATAATTATTAAAAGATCATTTTTGCGGGGTTCTTACAGCTCTTAAAACAAT